CACATTTCTCCGTGGCTTCCTGGTTTAAAACACTCATAATTATTGGCTTGGCTTAAAGATTGAGTTCATTAGTGGCATCTTGTCTTTGCTCCCTGAAGATGGACCACAGGTTCTGTTAGCAAGCTGACTTAGTTACTCAGGGGCAAGTTAGTGCCCGCTGCTGTCTCTGTCCACGGGGCAGGTGGGTTGTCCTCAGCACAGTGACTTGGCTCCACGAGCGAGTGCCCCAAATTCAGGAAGAGGAAGTTGTCAGTTTCTCCAGGCCTGAGATCAGGAAATTGACAAAGCCTCAACCTCAGGAAATTCTACAGGGCAAGCAAAGCTGTGTGTGCGTTAGAGGAGGAGATGGAGACTTCATCCCTGAGGGACACACGTTTCAAAGTATTGGGGGCCATGTTTTAAAGCTGTCATACATGGGGCAGTCATTGGATTTTATTCACATGTGAGGAAATTGAGCATAGGTGAATGAAATTACTTGCTCAGGGCAAGTGTACTAAGTGGCCTAGCTCTGCATTCTGTGAGGCAATCTGCATTTTTAACTGCAGTGCTAGATTTTCTCTCTCTATGATTCATAGATTTTAAGAAATTACATCCAAGACAGGCATGCCTGGTGGCACAGCCTGCAATTCCAGACCCAGGAGGCTAAGGCAGGCAGATTGCAAATTCAAGCCTAGCCTGGACAACTTAGTCACTTAGTGAGATCCTGTCTCAGTTGAAAAAGGGCTGGAGGTATAGCTCAGTGAGAAGGTCCTGGGCTCCATCTCCAGTATCACATAAACAAGATCCATAGCTTCTTCTTTTTTTTTGGTGGAACCGGGGATTGATCTCAGGCCCTTGTAATTGCCAGGCACGCACTTATTCTACTGAGCTATCTCCCCAGCCCCTATCCATAGCTTCTTGTGTGCTTCTTGTGGTACAATCATTATGAAATGAAGTGAGTTATACATGTTTGTGAATCCAAAGCCTTGTAAATATGAGGTATGTGCAAGGGTTTGCTCCATGTTACATTCAAGCTGCCCTGGGTGGTGTTGGCTCCAGTTCCCACCCCTGTGCCTTCACTGCCCCTTTCCTGCTGCCACGTGGAGAACTTAACACAGACCAGGTCAGATTGAAATGGACCATGATTCTGAGGAAAAAGCAGGGCTTTCCTTATTTCCACTGAAGGAGAATTCTGGGTTGAAGTCTGAGTGTCCATAAGGTGTTCACTCTTTGGCCTTAAGCAGGTGATTTAGGCTGCTTTGAAGTCCTGTCCACTCCCCGCATCAGTGCGCGCAGTCATGTGTTGCTTAAGGATGGGAAGTATCTGAGAAGGATTTCGTGGGTGGCAGCGCCTGTTGCACCCTTGGGCCGTAAGGAGCAGCCTGTTTCTCCTAGGGGCCAAAAAGTACAGTGTGTTACTTGTATTGGTCAGTTTTCCTGATGCTGCTCTGGAGGACTTGACACCCACAGTGGAATGGAGAAGAGATCTGCAGGGTGTAGACTCAGGGTTTCAGAAGGTTTAGTCTGTGGTTGTCTGGCTCTGAAGCAGAGCGTGGTGGAGGCTGTGGTGCTCACTGGGAAACAGAACAGACGAACGGTCCCCGAGAGAGACATACTCTGAAGGCACGCCTCACACGGACCCCCTCCTGGCCGCAGGCTTAGCTGTGGATGTTAGTGGGCCACCCCACCTGTGAGTCGGTGCTGCATGATCCAGTCACCTTTCCGTGAGTTACACAATCCAGTCAGCCTGACAGTTGAGCTTAACTGTCACATTGCTATACTGAATAGCATAGGCCACTGCCACACAGTTGGTAAGTGTCTGTGTACTGAAACATAGAAGAGGTACAGTGAAAATAAAAGGTGACAGAAAATCTAATTTTTTTTTCTTTTTTTGGTCGTAATGGGAATTGAACCCACGACCTCACACTTGCCAGGCAGGCACTGTGCTACTAAGCTATGTCCCCAGCTGGTGATAGGGACATTTTAAGCTTCATTTTATCTTAGGATCCTCCGTCATATATGTGGTCCATTGTTGATGAAAAAGTCATTCTGCAGTGGGTGCCTGTATTACATATAGTTTCTTGGGAGACAAATGAGAAAAAAAATTAAGATTATTTCAGATTCTCAAAGTTGCCTGATAAAATAATGAAGGTACCTTTCACAAACTGAAGGAACAGCTTCCTTTCCAGTTCAGAGCCAATAGATCCATCTCTGGGAGAGAGAGGTGGTCCTGGTTCTGAGATTTCTGCTTTGCAGATTAAGCTTCTGTTCAGTACTGTTTGCTGCCACGATAAACTCTGCTTGTTTCATATTATTTCATACTATTTCTCTTCAATGCAATTGTGACAACACTGATTTTTCCCAGATATTTTTGGGAAGCATTAGAGTTTGGTGTCAGTATCTTTCTAATTTCTGTATTTTGGAAGCAGTATCTGTGAATCTTCTGGGTGTAGAAAGCCCCATGTTAGCATTTCAGAATCAGAGTGTTGCGTGCTGGGGTCACGTCAGCCAGAGTCCACATTTTCCGTCAGCCCTCGACTCTGACCTCTCCCCTTCCCTGTTCCTCTCCTTATTTGTCCACATTGCGATTTCGTGGGTTTTTCTGTGCTGCTGGATCATTCCCTGAGTCAGCCACTCCTCATAATTGGCTGCTCTGGGCTTTCTCTAGCTTACTTTCCAGGGGCTGCAGGGCACTCCATGGGCCACTGTGTCACTGGCTTCTGGTAGGTACAGCTGATCTTCCCTTTCCCAAACCATGCTGCCTCCCAGAACCACCTCCCGCTTCTTCATATCCTTAGACAGATCCCAGCGTCATCGTTTCCGCCAGTGGCTGCGTGTTCCTTCTGCAGCGTGTCTTACCATCTGTCGTGATCTGGCTGGCTGTGTGCTGACTCGCTCAGTGCCTGTTCTGGTGCTACCTACGGGCTCGGAGGTGGTGATGCGCTTCGCGTGGGTCATCCTTCTCCCCAGCTTCCAGCAGGGGGCTTGTCTCAGCAGGCAGTGAACGATGGATGAGGGGGTAACCAGCCGCACAGGCTTCCTCTCTGGGATGGGGCCCTCCCTGAGCAGTCCCCGTTCTCACACTCTGTGCGTGCTAGTTTAGCACATCCTGTGAGAACCTGAGCTCCCTGATGGTGGCGTGGTGGACTCGCTCCCCAGGACCTGGCACGGTGCCTGGCAGGGAGGCCATGCTTCCGCTTCCCCGACGTAGCCACATGCTGTCTGTATTGCTGAGCTACAGAAATGCTTCTAAGTGGTTTAAAAACAAATTTAAAGAGAAAAAACCCTCAAAATTTCAAAACAAGATACTTGGGGGGGGAATAGTTAATATAATGCATGTTGTTGTCTTTAAATTAGTTACTCAGAGTGCAAGATACAACACTTAATTGTCCCAACAGTATTTGTACAGATCTTTCTTTTCAGTGAACTAAGAGAGATTAGTAGTATAGCTATCTTAATTATCTTGTGTGTGTGTATAAATTTTTTTTTTTTTTTTAGTTTCCCTTCCTTCTTTTTTCCTGTCCCCCATCCCAGTTTCTTTTTCTTGTTGAACAGTTTCTCCCCAGTTTACAATATGTGTTGTCGTTTTGGATCCTATTTCCTTTTCAGCTTCTCACACTAGGGAGACAACATGAGGTTTGCACACGTGCGTCTGGTTTATTTCACTTCTGAGTATCGTCCCGAGTTGCATGCATTTACCTATGAAACTCTACAGTTTATCCTTCCTTGTGGCTGAGTAGTACTCCATTGAATAAAAAGGCCTCATTGTTTTCATCCATTCCTTGCTCGATGAGCATTTGGGCAGTTTCTAAGATCTTGTCATCACAAATTGTGCTGCTGCAAACTTGGTGCATGTATATCACTTTGCTATGATATTTTTAATTCTTCTGGGAAAAATGGTTCTAAGTGTTTTCACTTGCACTCATTGTAAGAAATTAAGGTATTGAGATGTTAAGTTGTTGTTAATTGTCACACAGCTGCCAGGTGGTGGAGCTGGGCACCCAGCCTGGGGCTCCTGCATCTGTGCTCTTTTTTTTTTTTTTTTTTTTTTGTATTTTAGGGAGTGGTCTACAGGGTGTTCAGGGTCTCACTATTAGATCACACTCATAGTGATCCATCTGTTTACAGCCTCCCAAGAGCTGGGATTACAGGTGTGCACCACCATGCCCAGTCTCAGTTGCTGCCTTAGCGTGCCCCAGGGGCTGGGCCAGCACAGCAGGCCTGGGAATCGAACCCCTGGCCCCTGCGCTTTAATCCACTGAGCTGTTTGGCCAGCCCTTCTGTGCTTTTGACCACTGAGTACTGTACTATGATAGCTCCTCATGTTTGTTTGCACATTCCATCATAAATGCCTCACCAAAACCCAGCACTTTCCTTGCGTGTTGTGTAGGGATTCTCAACAGATGACAGTGTACTCAGTGTCCTTAAGATGTTTAAGAAACCAAAAATGGCTCAGGGTGGGACCAAGTATGAGAATGGCAGGGACAGGAACTTGGGCTGTTGCAGTCCCACCCTGGACTCCTGCCCTTTGTGCTAAGATGAGTCCCCTCCAACCCCCCCATTCTCTGAAGGACCTTAGGTTTGGGGTCAGACAGACACTCATTAAGTCTGATTGATTGATTTTAATTAGTTCATGCTTGTGGTACAGTGTTTCCTTTCCTTGTGTGGAGTTGAAACATATATATGACGCATCTTAATGTCTTTTTTTTCCCCAAGTACCGGGGATTGAACTCAGGATCTTGTGCTTGCTTGCCAGGCAGGTGCTTATGTGGCTGAGCTATATCCCTGGCCTTTAACGTCTTTAAACAATACTCCCTGCTTTCCTCTTGCCCAACATCTCTTGGTCCTCTTCCCTCTTGAAAAAGTTCTGTCTTTTTACTTTTTTATTTTGTGTTTATTTGTAATTTGGATGACATTTCAGCTTGTGCGGGCACAGATTTAACGCAAACATTTCCTGAGGGTTGTCAGCGGTTTTGCCCTCACAGATTATCTAACCCAGCCATGTTCCCTCCCTCCTGTAGACAATGGTGGCAGCCACATGTTACACTCCAGGACAGAGACGACCCCGTCACCCGCGAACAACACTGGGAATGGGCACCCAGAGTACATCGCGTATGCGCTTGTCCCTGTGTTCTTCATCATGGGTCTCTTTGGTGTCCTCATCTGCCACCTGCTTAAGAAGAAAGGCTATCGTTGTACCACAGAGGCTGAGCAGGACATCGAGCAGGAAAAGGCTGAAAAGATAGGTAAGTGACCTATTGCTTTTATTGGTGGGATGGGACAGCGAAACTGTTCTTAAGGAGCCACACGTGTGTCCCGCCCGTCTCTGGGGGCACTGTGAGCCGTGTAAGCAGCAGCGCGGGGCAGACGTGCACCTTTCCGAGGAATCACACCTCGCGGTGAAAGCTCGCTTTGTGGCGGCCTCCTGTGTGTTTATCTGCACTCGTCCCGTGGTCCCGGGCGGCTGTGTGCTCTGAGTCACTGCTGTGTATAATTGAGCTGAAATTGATTTCTAATTCGTGTAATTGGCATTTTAATTTTATTTAAATGAAGATAACAATCTCTACTTTGTGGAATGGTTGTGCAGTCAGAGAGCAGATTCACGAGTGGCTGGCACATGTGTCCTCTCAGTAAATATTAGTCCTTACTGTTGTGACTGAATCCGATTGTAGCAAGAGTGGTAGGAAAGCTAAACCGTCTCATCACTTTTGTAGTATTGCTTTTGCTTTCCGTGGTGTTACATTTTTGTAGTGCCGTGAACCTGTGGGATTGAAATGCATGTTTGTAAATAAGTGATTGTAGAACAGTGCAGTAAAGCATGGCAGGAACCGGTGCCTCGGTATGCACAGCAGTGTCCCCTCCTTCCTTGCACTTGGAGTCTTGGGGAGCATTTGCATAAATCTGAGCCACGAATCCTGTTTTCCTGTCATTTCTTCCCAGTCATCTTTCTGGGAGAGTTTCTAACTTGGGCCTTGAGTATTAGTAAGTAACTCTCCATGTCCTGCTGAGCCCCATATGGGCAGACTTTGCGGAGAGGTGACATTTGGAGCAGGACACCCGTTGAGCAAAACCACGGGTGGCAGGGGGAGGTTCCTCATTCCTGGCCAGCTTCCTGGACTGTTTGTCTTTTCCACCCCCGCTGACCTTTGAGGCTGAGGCCGAGCACAGGGGTAGGATGAGTCATGTGTAAGCTTATGACCAAGCTAAGCTGAGTGTTTGTCAACAGAAGGTGGGGCCTGCCCCACTATTCCTTCTCTGAAGTCTGGAGGTTGGTTTGTCCATCAGCTTCCAGGCCGACCCTTTAAACATGTGTATTCATGTCGGACAGAGGCCTGCCTGGGGATGGAGAAGGCATTGTCCTGGGTAAATGGGTGGCCCCTGCGCACCTGGCTTGTTCTTGATGAACTAGGACAGAGGTTTCCACTCTCCTTCTTTCTTGGTATATTGAAACAAATTATACAGCTGGTTTCTGAATGGAGCCTTGATATTTTCTTCAGACTGTCATTATATTGTTGGTATAGAGTCCACCAAAGTAACTGAGTTTGTGGGCAGATAACCAAGTCAAAATTTAGATAACTGGGGAGTATATTGAAAAGGATAAGACAGTTTTATAAATAGGAATAAATATCTAATTTAAATAAGTCAGTATTCTTAAGTTTGTGCAGTAAGCTGGAATTAAAAGCTAAGGAAATTGGCTTTTTTTTTTTAATTAGCTTTCTTTTCATTTCCGCTTAGTGCATAAAGAAATGATGAATCAACAATAGCAGTCCAGAGTATTAGACTGCATGTCTGTATTGTGTTAGAAAACGAGTGAACGTTTGACTGTGAGAAGAGATTGATAGGCAACTCTGATACCTCCTTTTTATGTTTGCTGTGCCAGTGAAGTCAACAATATATGACTAGAAAGTTTGGGTCTAAAGGCAGAGAGCTAGAGTCTGCACCGTGCATGACCACAGAGCTTTCTGGAAGCTGAGGTTGAATGTGAATGTCTAACTGACTTCCTGCCGGTACGTGGCCAAGTGTGACATGTTCTCCCCTCCTCTTTTCTCTTTCAGAACTGAATGACAGCGTGAATGAAAATAGTGACACTGTTGGGCAGATTGTCCACTACATCATGAAAAATGAAGGTATATTTAGTTCCTTAGAGCAATTCAGTGTGCTTGTTTTATCATAAACCTGCTCTGAAGAGTCAGGATGAGAATAGGCTGTCACTGATGTTACCTTAACTCAGTAAATCCTGGGCCTCCCTTGTTATCCAGCCACGGAGAATTCACATTAGTACGTGTCGGAGCGCCCGCGGGGCTCCGTGTGGTGGAGAGGCTCTTGGCTTCTGTTGTGGTCCTGGTCTGCCTGCTTCCCGCTTGTGTGCTGTCACGTTCCTCCATGAAGCCTCAGTTTCCTCCTATGAGATGAGAGTCATGGGAATATTTACCTCATAGCACCCTTGGAAAATAACTCTCAAAATGCACATAAACAAATATTATGTATTTTTTGTGCTTAAAAATTGTGCTAAAATACACATAAAATTTGCCATTGTAACTGTTTTGAAGTGTGGAATTCAGTGGCACTGTGTTCATCCACAGTGTGGTGTAAGCATCACCACAGATAGTTCCAGAACTGTTTGTTATCCCAAACATAACTGTTCACATAAAGTGCTCTCTCCAGCCCCTCCTCCTCCACCCCCAACAACCAGTCCTCTGCTGCCTGTCTCTGTAGTTTGTCTATTCTGTTTCTGTTATCTGTTCTGAAGTGTAAAATGTTTGAAAGGCTCACCCCTTAAAGAGCACGTGAAATACACTCTAACCTTTCATCTTCTTCAATGGAAGCCTCTTTTAATTTTGATTAATTAAGTGATGGTAAGAGTTCTGACCTCTGGTATTATCTCAAGGACATACTGCCCTCTTCACAGCTGCTGTTACTAAATGCCACACATGCTGCTTGGGAAGAACAGAGGCTGGTGCAGCTCACGGCTCTGGATGCTGCTGTGTCCACGAGCCTGCTGTCTCCATCTGGTCAGGGCCTTCCTGCTGTGTCATGATGGGGCAGAGGGCCTCACATGCAGCCAGAACAGTTGTGTCTGAGAACGCTCACTTCGTGACAGTCACTCCTCAGCAGCCCATTACGCCTTGAGTGGATAAGTCCCTTCTTTGGGCAGAACCTTCATGATGACTCTGTGGAGAGTAAGTTCTGACACATGAATTCTGGGGGACCCACCCAAGCCACAGTAGAGTCTCCGTCCTGACTAGTGGAGTCGTCACGCACTCAGTAGCTGTGGACTCCTATGCTTTGAATTTTTGTCTTGAGACAGGGTTTCACTGTATAGTTCAGATTGGCCTTGAGCTCACTTTGTAGCCCAACCTGGCCGTAAATTGACAGCAGTCCTCTTGCCTCAGCCTCTGGGATTATAGGTGGGCACCACCACACCTGGCCTACATTGAGTCCTTGTGACAGTTTAAAAGAAAATGTTTTCCCTGGCTGTCTTGTTCTCATTGGCACTGGGTGAGTCATACGGCATGCCCTGATTGCGCAGAGCCCTTTGTCTAAGGGTTGAAATCCCTGTATATTCAGTAAATACCTGTTCCTCTGCCCTCGACCTTTCCTGTGCAGTGAGTGCTCCCATCCTGTCTGGCCCAGACTGTGTTCAACTCCTGTCTGTTTTTCACTTGGAGGAACAGCAGTTTCAAATGCTTCAGCATCGTTTCTAGTGCTACTTTTAGTGTGTGTTATGTATGTGACTTAGTCAGACCTGGGGGTGTCATGTGTGCTCTGCATGTGTGGTCTCATCAGACCCTCAGAGCACCACAGAGTTGACCTTATGGGTGGAGAAAGGGTTTCCAGGGAGTTCAGTTTGCGCAGGTAGTGAGCAGCCTGTCTCTTGTGTCTACTTATAGCTACTATGTCCCTTTAAGCCACAGTGTTCTTTCTCCTCTTTTAATTTGCATCTTTTAATTTCTATAGTGTATGGAGATCAGGAAGCCGGACTGCACTCACGGGGGTATAAAAAACTATGTGTTTGTAGTACATGATTAAATTCACTGTGGAGAGGTGGTACATGTCCGTAACCATCTTAATTCTTTTTGTTTTCCCTCCTCCCTCTTGCTTATAGGTCAGACACATGTCTTTAATTTTGGAAGTCAGTTTTAGTTTGGGCAGCCAGCTGTTGGAGGTTAGAACTCTTAGCTGACCTGCTGGGCAAACACACGTTGTTTCCTGACACGCTCACCTCACTTTTGACACAAGCTATGTGGGCTTTTTCCATGCTGAGCAGCTCTCCAGCGCTCCACACTCCAGCTGGCAGTTAGAGAGCCACAGTTGAACTCATCTCTAACTCTGTGTCTGGGAGTCAGTGTGCGATCCCTTGGTGAGGGGCTCAGTCCCACAAGACTACCCCTGCTTTAGATGCCAGTCGCCAGTCCAGGACCCTGGTACTTGTGACCTACAACATATGAATCATGCAATTTCCATAGCCCCTCTTTGGGTTTGATAATTTGCTAGAGTATTTTCCAGAACTCAGGGAAATGTTTTATTACATTTATTGGTGTATTATATAGGGTGTAGCTCAGGAACCACTAGGTAGAAGAAATGTGTAGGACAGGGTATTAAGATGGGGGATGGGGACAGCTGGCACACCTCACCCCCATTCCCCAGTGGGCCACTCAGCACCTCTGTGGGCTCAGCAGCCCAGAAGTCCTGGAATCTGGAAAGTTCCAAAGCTCTAATCCCCCAGACTTTCTGATGACTGCCCTACGCTGGCGCATCCCATTAGACGCAGGTCTGATCAGGTCTCTGCCTTAATATGAATAACAAAAGACAATCCCATCTCTTGGGAAGGTCTGAGCTTCTAGAAGCTCTCATGCACCTGTGTGCCATTTTCCTCCCTGAATGCCAGTTGTGTCTTTTAACAGACTCTTAGGGCCAAACAGAATAGCTTTTGGGTAGTCTAAGTTTTCTTGCCTTATGTGGAAGTTCGGAGAGGGCTGGGGACTCCACAGCTGAGTTTCTCTGGGGCCCTTACACTCTCTGCAGTAGTAAACACTGAGAGTGCCACGGTTGCTCCTCAGGACACTGCTTACTCACACGAGGCCAGACTTCCCTTCTGAAGTTCTTCCCTTGACACTGCTTATACTGCGGCAGAAAGGGCACCTTACGACCAGAATGGCTGTGGAGTGGGCTCCGAGAGGGGCTGTGGTGAGTATGCAGGTCGGCTCTTCTCAGTGGGTCTGGCCTGTGTCTGTGGGAGGAGACCTGGACGTCGTAGGAGCAGGAAGGACAGTGGCAGGTTTAAAGCCCCTGCTCTGCTCTGCTCTGCTGAGACAGGCCAGAGATTGTGGCCAAGTTGGTGGCGATTTGTGTGACCCAGCCAGTCAGTCTTTAGGCCTCAGTCGCTTTATCTGTAAACTGGTTGTGGTAATTCTTCTCATGGTTAGGGCCACTGGGAGAGTCCGATATAGTAAGGTCTGGAAAGATTTTAGCTGGTATACAAAGTTTAGTGATGGTGGTATTAGTTACTGCTTGGGAAATCTGTGGAGTGTATGTGGAGAAGTTTGAGGAAATAGTGGAGGAGACATAGGACAATTTTTTTTTTTTTTTGCTTAATTTTGACTTTTATGCATATTTTCAAGAAGAAATTCAGGGGAAAAAGGAAAAACCTGCAAACTGGAAAATTTCCTTTATTCTTTTGCCCTGTAACTGGTTCCTCCCATTCTTGAGACCACCTATGGAAGACAGAATGTTGACAGAACGTTGGAACATATGAGGAAACTGCCTCTTGGGCTATTGAAATTAGGAGGAATCCCCAAGGAGCAGAGAAACAGCTGGCTCTCTGTATCCATGGACTCAACCCAAAATTCAAAGTTTTAAGACAAACTGCTTTTCTATTAAACACACGTGCATACCTTTTTCTTGTCATTTCCCCCAGACAATAGTATAATTGCTGGCTATGTGACATTTACAGGGCCAGCCAGATAGCTCAGCGGGCTAAAGTACCTGCTTAGGCAGAGCGTAGCGGCTGGGGTTCGATCCCCACTGTGCCGTTCCAGTCCTGTCCTCAGGGCCCGCTGAGACTACAATTGAGACTGGGTGTGGTGGCACACACCTGTAATCCTAGAGCTTGGGAGGTTGAAAACAGGAAGATCACTATGAGTTCAGGCTACATAGTGAGACACTGTAGACCCTGTAGATCCTGTACCAAATACATTAAAAAAAAACCCTTTTACATTATATTCAGTATGATAAGTAATCTAGAGAAGATTTGAAGCATGCAGCAGGATGTACATGGGTTATATGCAAATACTATTTCCATAAAGGACTTGAGCTTTTGTTATCCTGGGGGATGGGGGCCTGAAACCATTCCTCTATGGATACCGTAGACAACTCTTTACTCAATAGAATTTACTGTTCATTTACTATAACTTCACAAACAAATTAAAGCATGTGTTTAAGTCCTAATAGGAGTGTTGTGTTAACAATCTTATTATAGGAAGACAGAAACGTGCCCAAGGGGCACATCCCTGAAGTTTACCCCTGGTATAGACTTGGAAGTTAGCCCAGAGGAGGGGTATGCGTTGGACTCACATGCCCACCCTCCTCAGACGGGGCCGGTGTGAATGAAGTTCACCCAGAAACTGGAGTAAGATGAGCTATCTGCTAATTATTTCTAAGAGGTAGAAGTGAGTTACAAGCATTCACAAAATCGTGAGAAACACAAGTACACAAGAAACAAGCTTGAGTAATTACTACATTATTCTTTGTTTTCCTGATATCACATTATAATTTGCTGTTTCATTTTAAGGGCATTGATCATTTTATGGGTGATTGATTTTCTCAGGGAACTGTTTAAACTTTTGTTTTTAGAAAGCTTATTATTATAAGGTCTGTTTTTGGTGTCTTTGTTTTCGTATCCTGTGTGTTTTTCTTTTCGTTTATAGTTTGGTAAATAATGGCACGTAGTTAAGTGTAATCTGGCAAATTATTGTGTATTTTGTATGCAATAATAAGATGCAGAATTGCATATGGGACTGTATATCTATATTAGTCTGTCTTATGTTATTATATTGAAATACCTGAAGCTAGGAATTTTATAAGAGAAGAAGTTGATTCAGCTTATAGTTTTGGAAGTTCTAGATCTGAAGTCCGGCAGCATCACTGATTTGGCTCTGGTGGTGGCTGAGAGGGGGGCTGGGTCCCGTCCCAGTGGGGGACATCACAGGGGAAGCATGAGCCAAAGGGAAGTCAGAGAGCAAGTCACGAGTTGGGCTTTCTGTGTTTATTTTTTGGTGCTGGGAATGGACCCAAGAGCCTGAGCTTGTGAAGCAGGTTATCTGTCCCTGGACTACATCTCCAGCCTTCTTTTGTGTCTCCAGCCTTCTTTTGTGACAATGTTCTTTTGAGAACCAACCAGGGTACCATGAGAACTATAACAATTTTTTGTTGTTGGTTAATTTTTTTTTTTAATTTTTATGAGACAAGATCTGGCTATGTAGCTCAGGCTGGCCTTGAACTCACTATGTAGCTAAGGTGACCTCGAATGTATAGCAGTCTTTCCCCACTGCCTCCCGAGGGCTGGGATTGAAGACATCCCCCCACCCCCGCCCCCGAACTATTTCAGTTTCTTCTGAAGGCGGCACCACCGAGCACCTAACCACCTGCTAAGATCACTCACCTCTCAGAGGTCCTACCGCCCCTCCCACTGCCACTCGGGACAGTCTTCCAGCACATGAAATCTTTGGGGGAGAAAAATCACATCAAAACAACGGCAATATCTGAAACCATCACTTGAAACAAAATGATTTTCCTGACTCTACTCTATTGGTCAAAAGGGAAAGTGGCTGTGTTTTTGTGTATGCAGAGAGGTGCTGTGGGTCCATGGTTGGTACCTGTGTAATGACAAAAACCTTGTTTTAAGTAAACTTGTGTTTGGAAGTAAATTTTGACATCCTCGCAGAAACGAATGAAGGGTAAAGGAAGTGTTGCTTTTAGCAAAGAATGGCATGTTGCACTAGCCTTTCCTTCCTTCTTTCCTTTCTTTCCTTCTTCCCACCACTGATTCCTTTCTTTTTGTGGTACTGAGCACTGAACCCTGGGCCTTCTCCCTGAGCTACATCCCCATCCCTTTTTACATTTTTGTAAAATTTTGAGACAAGGTCTCACTAAGTTGCTTAGTTGCCTACACGGGACCGGAGCTTGTAGTCCTTCTGCTTCAGTCTGCAAAGTGCTATGATTATGAGTGTTTGCTATTATGCCTTGAAAATATTTCTTACTAAAAAAATTCATGCATTCTCAAGGGTGTGCCCCTCAAGAGGATGCAGATTGGATCTTAGCAGAGCCAAAAAAATCCTGACCACACAAATATGCACACAGACCAGAAAAAGACAGATAATGTATCTAGCATGAGGCTTTCACAGCTGGCTGATAAGTGAAAAATGTGGAAAAAGGTCCAGGTTGGGGCTAGAAGGAAACCTGGGTTCAGAAGCGCTGTGCGTAACCCTTACCTCAGCCCTCACCCAGAGGCGTTGGAGCTGGAGTTGGTTGTCCTTCTCTGAGGATGTCATTTGAATGTTACATGGTGGTGGTGGCTAACGAAAATAATGATTTGTTTTTTTCTTTCCTCTCTAGAAAATTTGTTGTGGTTAGTCATGAGAAGCATGCTTTAAGGATCAGTGGAAAAGGTTAGGTGGCAGTGATAGCATTTGGCCTTGCCAGTGAAAGAGCCAGCAGCCACTGATCATGGCTTTATGTGCTGAAGAGCTTGGCCACCCCACAGGGGTGCAGGGAGCAGGGGCTGGGTGTAGGCGCGAGCAGGGACCCCAAGAAGCTTGGACTGGTTTTGGTTGTTGCAGCCTTGCTTTCCCTTCTCCCACGTATTTGGAGTTAAAAACAAAACAAACAAAAAAACAACATTGAAAGTCTAATTTAAAAACATTTAAAGCCAATCTAATTCACTCTATATTACTTAACTTATGAGTTGTGATCAACACATGCAACTCTCGGATGTCTGTCCAGATGTGGGGCCCGAGTCGCCCAGACACAGCTCAGCCAGCTGGCCCACCTCCCTGCCTTACCCAGCGCCCAGGACCTCTTCCAGGAACTGAAGGAATTACGTGGACTGTGTGTTCTTTCCAGCAGCTTTTCTGCTCTTGTAATGCCGTGACTGCCCATTCGTCCCATGTTAATTCTTTAATTTCCTTTTTATTCCTCAGCAAATGTGGATGTGTTAAAGGCAATGGTAGCAGACAACAGCCTGGTCGATGCTGAAAGGTAAGTGCTTCTCCTGCCAGAGTGGGACCTGCTTCTTGCTGTCTGTGGGCACTGTCTGCACAGCAGCATCTCTGACAGTCCCAGGCCTCTGCTCACCAGGTGTCAGAGCGCTGCCCCCTTTACCTTTACAAAGTATGACAACCCCAAGTGTCTGCACATTGTAGTGTACCTGAGGGACCTCCTCTGGGTTGGAGCTGCTGTGCTAGAGCTCAGCGCCAGGGGGAGTAAGGCACGGAAGCCCAGAGCAGAGTCCTGACACTGGGAGACTGTTCCCTCACCGCTTCCTGGCCACTGATTCTGGGCAGGTTAGCTGAGCAGGCCAAGCTCCACTCCACTGTCTGTAAAGTGGAGATAACCATGCGTTGACATCATTGGGTAGAAGGAGTGCAAGGCACTGGGACACTGAAATACCTTTATTCATATGGGGATTAAATGAACAGTGGCTTTGGGCATACATGGTGCAGTTTAATTTTTTATTTCTGGTCTTAGGTTATGGTCAGTGAGCACCATATTCTTTCATCATTAAGGATGACAGTAGAGTGTGCATTTTTCCAGTAAGGAGCATTTAACCAAATGTCTACTGTGTGCTGGATTCTGAGCTGTCCGTGGTCCTCTTAGTCCCTTGCCCAGGAGGAGCTCAGTCTGGCCCTGGAGGTGGGCATGTGAGGCCTTACAGGGAACGGAGCCTGAGTGTGCTGCGGGAGAAGCCAGCTGAGAGTCTAGGTGCTCTGCAGGCCCGCAGCAGGTCAGGGAGGATGGGGCATCATGCGAACCAGGCCTTCCCAAGCAGCGCTGCTTGTAGAAAGAAGAGAGTCCAGGAGAAAAGGGGCAGTAATGCACAAATATAGGGCATAAGGTTCATCTGAGGTGGCCAGAGAATGGCCTGTGGCGGCAGCAAGAAGGCCACCTGGGACTGAGACATGGCCAGGGCTTGGATCTTGTTCTGCTTCGTTGCGGGGGATGCATGTGGCACCTCTGGAGTATCAGTGCAGCAGGAGATATTGGGTCAGTGATGCTGGACCCTGGACTGCAGAGAGGCGAGCTTGGGCTGTGAGTCGCAGATGGACACAGACTGCTGCCACGCTGCAGCCCTGGCAGTGGACAGCTGGGTTGAGACCATCAGCGCTGGTGTCTTTGGGTCAGTTGTCGGTGGGTGTCCTGTAGTAGCCGTATTCAGGTTTTGTACACAGCTGGCACTGGATAAGTGGTTGTGGAGCGACTAGTTAAAAGCCTAGATGTAGCTTTCCAACATGTGGTGTCAAGTTCACACTGCTTTCCTCTGGGAAGGTCCTGCTACGGGTTTTTATTTTAATAACTTCTGGAACATCACTAGAGAGCACCAGGGAACTTCCAGGTGGCCAAATGTGGAGGCTATCCCCTCACTCACGGCCTGTGCCTCTTTGAAATATGTTTGGTTTGGCCGTGTGGCAGCAGCCCCAAAGCTGGTATCTGCCATCGCTAGCCTCCCATGTGCCTTTGGGGCTCTTGCTGCGTGTCAGGTATCAGGTTCTGTGACACACCAGAGGCTGGTCATACCTGGTCCAGCCTGCTCTGTCTTGTTCTCATCCTTCCTGTTCTAGGGACGAGTGCCTGCACACGTGCCCTATGAAAGTAGCCAACATCTGGCCCTTATACACCTGCTTGTTACATTTTGGCTGTTTGGGCCACATTTCTTACTGAAGATCAAAAGTGGTCTCCATTGTTCCTGAAGCACCACATGGCGTGGTCGGGAAGACTGGCTTCTGCAATTCAGTTTCCTAGGTTTGGATTTTGATCCACAATTGTTTGCAAGCTACTTGGTTTCTCTAAACTTCAGTGCCCTCATTTTTATTTCTACTCTTTGTCCTGGGGATCAAAGCCAGGGCCTTGCACATGCCAAGCAAGCACTTGGCCACTGGGTTGTGTTCTCCACCCTGTCCTTTTTTCTTTTTGAGACAGGGTCTTGCTGTGTAGTTCAGGCTGTCCTTGAACTCACTGTGTGGCATAGGCTGGCTCAGACTAGTGACAATCATCTTGTCTCAGCCTCTTAGTGTTGGTATTACTGGTGTTTACCACCATGTCTAACCCAGTCTTCTTCTGTCATATGGTTTTATAAAAATTAGTTGAATTAACATAAAATTCTTGGAATGCTAAATGTTTATTTTTTATTACTATTATCAACACCATCAATATCTGTTTTGAGCATCACTTTGGATAACTTGACCTAAAGCTTTCTTCCTATGATGGCAATAGTCAGATTACATTGAATATTGTTACTATTATAAATCATCCAACAATGCCACTGGTATTTCTGTTTTTTGTCACCCAGGGCATGAATGTTCAGGGGATGATCCTGCTCGAGTTCTAGGCAGACATGGCTGTGTCTGAGAAGGTAGTAAGATTGCATGAGAAGAGAGATGGTGTTCGGAAGGAAACCTAACACCTGGAAGGCAAACATTGTGTCGCCATTAGAGCGCTAGTTTGTCTCTATTTCTAACCAGTTAATTGAATTCTTGAAGTGATAAATAACATTGTTATTGGTTGAAATGAGCTGTCCCTGTGGGGCCTGAGAGCTGAATGCTTGTATCTAAGATCAGCCCACCAAACCCATTTGCGCAATTTTCCCCCCATCTTAATCTGTTTCTTACATTACAGGGAGAGAATGCTCTGCCTAGGATTTCTTTCATGAAACCTGCTACCTTTTTGTTTCTTCTTCCTCCCCACCATAGCCCCCTGACTCCTAGCACCCCTGGCAGCCCTCCTGTGAGTCCCGGGCCCTTGTCACCAGGAGCCACCCCAGGGAAGCACGTCTGTGGCCACCATCTGCACACTGTGGGCGGAGCTGTCGAGCGAGATGTCTGTCAGCGGTGCAGACACAAGCGATGGCACTTCATAAAACCCACCAGCAAGTCCAGAGAGGCCCGACCACGACGCCAAGGGGAGGTCACTGTCCTCTCCGTGGGCAGGTAAGTTCCTTCAGAATGCTCTGGGTTTGCGTGTGTTGCTCTGGTGTCCAGATTTGCACTTAGCATTAGATATGTAGTATGTGCTGTAAGCCTGGTTCAGGGCAGACCGGGGCTTCTGGACGCTTTCTGATGTGGACTTTTCAGTAACAGGAGACTCCCAGAAGACAGCCATTGCTGGATGAGGAGATGTTTCAATGAAGGGGAATGATTAATTACTTGTCACAGAGCTTAGAACCACACCTGTGTACAGATGAGACCTTTTGTTTCATTTTTGGAAATCTAAGCACATGGCCAGGGAGCAGCGTGGCTGGCTCATCACGAGGCCATCCTAGGAGTGGTGCATGTCACGTGGCTCACAGTCCACGCTGAGAATTAATCACTTGCCCACACCTAACTGCTAGGCATCCAGGAAATACCACATTGCCATGTGCCAGGGTACAGAGGCCGGATGGATCTGGCACTTGACAGTCTCTGCCGTGGGATCTGTTGCACGCTGCGGTGGCTGCTTGCTTTGTGCTGACCGCTTGCTTCAGTCTACCTCTGCTGTGCCTGGGGCATCTCAGTCCTGCAGCACCATTTCCTTGTGAAGTGAGATCTTGCATTTTGAGGGATACAGCAACCTGGCGTGAAGCATCTCTGCAGTTCTGCAGTTTGAGTTCTGAGGCGCTTGCAGGAAGCTCATTGCTGAGGCCACATTTGGAAAGGCAGTGAGGCTGTGTGCTGGGGACAGGGTGCGCTGAGCAGAGCTGTTAGACGGCACCTTGTTTTTCTACTGAGAAACCTCTGGGCGCGGGGGAGCCTGACTTGTTGAAACCACCTCATTGAGTTCTGGCACTGCTGCTTAGGAGTGCTTTGTGCCTCAGTTTCCCTTTGGTCAAAGTGAGGATGTCAGTCACAGCCACCTCATAAGGTTGCTCTGAAGACTCAGTGAAATGACTCATGTGAAAGTTCGAGACCTGGTGGGGCCCCCAGGCACTCAGGACATGCCCTATTACCCTCGCTGTTTTAATGCAGCTGGGCGCCATCAGGTTGTTGCATAGCCCCCAGGGTGGGGGGCGGTTGCGGCTCCCTCGCAGCAGAGCCCTGCAGGACAGCTCACGACCTCAGGGTTTTATTGAGAGGAACAGTCGTGGGAATTTCTGAGTGCAGACAGGTAAGAGCCTGTAGCTGTTTGCACAAAGCACGTTTTGTTTGCTTTGAAAGAGAAAACTCGGCTGAAAGTTTGAACCTGGATTCAACATGGCTTTTTCCAATGGTGGCGGTCCAGCTCTGCTCCTGGCCACTGGGCCGGGAGCATGTAGTGACTGCAGCCTGTGGGCAGCATGTGTTGCTGGAGAGTCTTCCAGCTGGAAAGGACAGGTCTGTGCTCATGTCTTTCCCCTGCTCCTTTGCCTCCTCCTCCTCACGCTTCATGACCTCATTTTGGGCGAAGAAGGAGAATTTTATTTTGTATCATCTTAAAAGGAAATTTAGACCAGAACTAGAAAGAAAATACTATAAGGATCTGAGTATGATGTTCTAGATAACTACTTAATTCTTAATGAAAATCTCTGCCTTCTTTAACTTTTTCCTTAACCTTTAATGAAAATTTTATCTTTAAAGAAAAGGCAGAAATAAACTCCTAAACTCTACTACTTCTTAGTACTGAAGGAATGCTTTATTGAGGATCTCCTGTGTGTGGGTGTGCATGTGCATATGTGTGTGTGTGCATATGTAAACAGAGTCAAAACCCTCCGACAGGTGTGTTTTTGTGAGGTAGTCACCTATTTTGTTTATGCTTGTCTAGTTTACTAACCAGCTATATTTTTCTGCAGTCTTCTTTGGTTAAAGAAACCATTTCTGAGGGCTGGCGAGATAGCTCAGTGGACTAAGCACCTGCTTAGGCAAGCATAGATACCAAGGTTTGATCCTTGGTACCAAGGCCACCTGTCGGTCCTGATCCCTGGGTGTGATGAGCCTGTCACCGAGAACAAGTGTGGTGGCTCATGCCTATAATCCTAGTGCTAGGGAGGCTGAAAACAGGAGGCTCACTACAAGTCCGAGCTGCATAGTGAGACCCTGTACCAAATACATAAAAAAATACAAAAAAAAGCTACCCATTTTTAAAATCCGTGTCATTGCCACCACACCAAGGCTATTTTGTATCTGAATACTTGTACTTTCTAATGCACTTTCATACTCTATAATACCAGCAGTGTAGTCTGTGATGTGGTTGAGTCACAGTAAGCTGGAGAGGGGGGCGGGGATGGGGACCTGCTGGTCTGAAATGCCGCTTCTCTTGAATGTTTTCCATTACTGTCCTACCTTCTGACAGTCTGTTAGGGGTCCTGTAGATGAATACCATAATTGATGTTTTCTGGAAAAGCAAAGCCGTCAGATCACCTCTTTTCTCCCTCAGATTTAGAGTCACGAAAGTGGAACACAGGCCAAACCAGAAGGATCGGAGAAGTTTGATGTCTGTTGGTGGGACTGAAAGTGTCAACGGGGAAGTGCCTGTGACTCCAGTGAAGAGAGATCGAAGCGGCACCGAGTAGCAGGTGAGCCTTGGCAGCTTTGGGGCGGGGTGGTACATGGTGGGGAGGTCTGAGAGCCGGCTGTGCTCCTCTGTGCCGCAGGGGGTGGCACAGCTTTGCTGGAAGCAGGAAGGTTGAGGGGATGACTCGGCGCCCTCAGGGGCTTGGCTTGCATGACCAGGGGGTGCAGTGGTACAGTAGTATGGTGCAGTGGGGACCGGAGTGAGCCAGAAACCACGAGCACGAAGCGCATTTGTCTTCTTACCAGAAAAGGGAAAAAATTCTAGGCTTTAAAAAGTGAAATCCCAGATTGATACATCTAAGTCTTTATGACTGAATCACATGTATCTTAGTCATCACGTCTAGGTAAACTGTGATTGAAAGGGCAGGAGCTACTGATCCAATGCTTTTTCCTCTGATTGGAAATCAGTTTTCTTGGATGTATTACATCAAAGAACATATCTTCAATAAGAACATTACCCTGAACTCCCTTCAGGAGGAATAATACTGTTTCCACCCAATGGAAACAGTATTTTGGAGCAGTTCAAAAGCAAGATGAATGCTTCTTGGTTTGGCAAATTTCATTTAGGAAGATACTGCTTTAGCAGAGCAAAGCAGAATACCTATGATAACTTGGTACCAGCTCAGCTTTCATCTTGCTCTTCCCTTTCTGTTCTGGGCTGCGTAGCATTTATCCTTTTTATGCTTATTACATGGAAGCAGGCAGCACAGCACACTTGCTCTACAGGGTCCAGTGGAGCCATTTGGTCCTGACTTGACGGAAGAGTTTATCTGAACAAAGGTAGAATTGGTGCTGGTGCAGGGGCGTCAGGCCCGGCCTTGAAGGTGCAGGAAAGTAATGACAATTGAACCTGAGTGCTGTAGTCAGTCTGCCAGGTTTAAATTCCAGTTTGCCACTTGCTAGCATGGGGACCCAGGTAAAATACACCAGTTAGTTGTGCCTCACTGGCACATGCAGAGAATGCTGTGAGGGTGTGGTGGCGCAGCAGGGGCCGCCAGGCCTGGCATCTTGGAAAGGCTCCGCTCATGCCAGTGCTCTGCTTATGGGTCAGTTCCCTTGTTCAGTAGCAAGGATGCGGGTGTTTTGGTTGGAGGTTCTCAAATGATCTGCCGGGCTTTGAGGGGCTAAGCCTGTTCTAGAAGCAAGCTAGGGGAGTTGTGTTCCTGAATTCTCTGATAGCTACTTAGTGCTGGTTTTTACAGGCTTGCGTTTGGGAAAATCTGGCCCTTTCTCCTAGCTTCAGAGGCGCCTAGGAGCTTCCTGTAAAGAGAAGTAATGTAGAATAGTCCGTCTTAGGTCTCTGAGCCAGTTTCAGTAACCTTGGCAAGAGAGCCAAGTGGAATGTAGGAAAAGGAAGACGGTGATGAGGTGAACCATAGAGGAAGCTCGGATTAAGTAAGTAATAGGCCAGACTTCTCGACTTTGTGCTGATGTCTGTCTCAGATGTCAGCATTATAAACGCCCCCTTGTGGGGGTGGTATGCCCGTCCCACTGCTACAGATGAGGGTACTGATACACGTAAAAGTAAGGTATATAGCTGGAAAGAGGAGTTAGGAGTGGAACCTGGCTCTCTTACTCCAGATCTAACACTTGCCTTTCCTTCATCCTGCAGTACTGCTGGGGGGAGTGCCAACAATCTCAACTTCATGACATAGTGTGACAGTCACTCCTCATTTGTGACTACTTAAATTTAATTAAAATGAAAAATTTCACTCAGTACTTGCATTTAGTCACATTCCAAGTATTTAGCAGCCACAGGTGCCTAAGATACCCTGCTGGATATTGCAAATATAGATGTCATCACAGGAAACTTTATTGGGCACAACAGTAACTTGGATGTTAGCGTTGGACTGCTGGGTCACAGGGGCAAGCTAGAAGAGCGTCCTGATGAAGGTCAGGGAGGGTTTGTCTGGGGTGAGAAGTGTCCAGGTCGGGTGAGGAGGGCCCAGCCGGCTTAGTAGCCAGGACAGTGTGGCCCCCCGTCGGCACCTATCAGGTGTGTGGATGGGTCCTGGCCTGCGCAGCAAGTTGAGCAACAGAGCCGGTTGTTTGTGTAAGAACCTGTCTCAGTTGCACGCCACCTGTAGAGCGATCGTATTCTTGCACTCCCCCAGGTTTGGGCCTGGCCAAGATCTGGGAAGGTCAGAGGAGTTAGGTTTGCTCACCTGGCTTTCTTGGCCCGAATTCTGTCTGCAGTTGACCATGGAAATATGCTCTACCACCTGAAGACCCAGCCATATCTAATTGGCTTACAATTTGATATTGTCTGCAAAGCACGCTGCCATCCTGCAGAGTTATATGAAAGAGGGTCAGAGAGCCCATTTGGAAATGGTCCTTATGTGCCCTGGTCCTGTATTCTGTTTGACCGTGAAATAAAGGTATAAAGCACATTGGTTTTTAAGGCCGGTGTTGGGGACACAGCTGACCCCACTGAGGAGGTCATATTCATATTGCGCTGTGCTGTCCGCATCCACAGTGTGCACACAGGCCCTACAAAAGGGCTTTCTCTGAGCTTCTAGCTTGCTGTAATTTTGAAATGAAAAATACATTTTTTATTATGGGAAAGCAGAGACAATAATATGATTGCCCACGATGCATGAAATAAATGAATTGTAATGTAGCTTTTGGGGTCCTCTGCACCTGGCATGCTTTGAAAGGCCATCGCATGGGTTAACTTACTTAATCATATGACGGCAGTAGCAGTAGGTAGGTGCTAGGTAGTTCCCCATTTTGCAGAAGAGGGTCTTAAGGGTCTTGTGTAAATTACCAGGAAGAAAGGGACAAGCTTAACATCAAACCCAGGCAGCCAGGTATCACAGGCTTCCTTCTTTTGGGTCCAGGTCCCTGCTCAGGCCGACTCTGCTGTGGTGACCACAGGCGGCTCTTCCAGCAGGGCATGGGCTCAGAAAAAGGAAAGAAGTAGTCACTGGCATTTTAACAATTATGTACCCATAAAGATTTTCCTGCTAGCGTGCGGTTGTGTCTCGCACAGGGAAGAGTACCTCTGTGATAGTTAAAGGGACTCAGTTTTCAGTAGGGGCAACTTGAAATTTTTCCTTCTGGCCACAGTCTGTGGTTCTGGACTGAATCTGATTGTATCAGCCTAGAATGTAGCTGATACAGTAGCACAGGGGCAGTGTGTGCCTCTTCATACAGTGGAATGCTCTTTATTGTTGCATTACTTTTTTTTCCCTGAAACATATTTTTGTTCAAATTTCTGGAATTTTAGTTAAGCTATTTTACCAGATTCCTGTAGTGTGTTTTACTACAGACTCAGATATTTAAGTGCCAGCGCAGATCCACTCGTGGGTTGCTTCCTTCCCCCGCCCTCTTCCTTTCTGTTGCTGTTTTAGCAGAAACTAGACATGGCTCAGCGAGTGCTTTGTGCCCACGGGATCCACAGCCGCGGATCCCACCATGGACCCAGAGTATATTGTACAAGATGTATCTATTTGAAATAGGCCCATTTTGTCCTTGTCCTCATGTCCTAAGCAGTGCAGTGTCGCAGCTGCTTACATGGTATTCATATCATGCTTTTACTGTAAGTAATCTTGAGGTGATCAGAGGTTTTCAGGAGAGTGTGTGGGTTTTATGGAACTAGTGTGCCATTTTGTATAAGGGACTTTAGACTTCACAGATTTTTCTGTATCCTTGGAGGTTCCCTAGAATCAATCATACCGAAGGAGAAGAATAAGCATTTGAAACAATTTGTTAGGAAGATGGGGGCAGCATTCCCCGCTCTCTCTTTCATTTGAGCTTTTAAAAACAGTCTCTGTTATTTGTCCTCTCCTCCCCCTCGTTCTTCTTTGGCCTGAGGATTTTTTTTTTTTTTTTTTTTTTTTTTTTTTTTTTTTGTGGTTAGATCTAACTTACACTCTGCCTGATTTATTTTGGCAATGCAGTTAAAATGGTTTCTTTTTTTCCACAGAAAATGTGTTTTGATTTCTTCTTAGAAGAATAAGCTTTTGTTCTTCAAAGTTAAATAAATCGAATTGCTTTCAGTCTCCAAATGCCACTGCCTTGTCTTCATTGTCACTGGACTTTTGCTTTTTAAAAATGATACTGCAGTCAGCATTCACCAGTGCGTGCTTCTGAAGTATGCGGTCCTTTCCCCATTTTTTCTTTGTGTTTTACTGAAAACACTGCTTTGATAAGTTCATACGACAATGCTTCAAGCATGTTCACTTTCAATATTTAAGTTTTGCTCCATTTTGATTGGATCACTCAGAGGTTTTTTGCTGTTGAGCTTCTTGTAAATTCTGGATTAACCACCTGTCAGGTATGTAATGTGCAAATGTTTTCCCTCATTTTGTACGCTGTCCTTTAACTCTGCAGTTCCCTTTGCTGTGCAGCAGCATTTCAGCTTGGTGTGACCCCGTTCGTCTGGCTTGGCCTTTGTTGCCTGTTGTTTTGGTGTCCTATTTAAAATAACCCATGCCCAGGACAACGTCATGAAGATTTCTCACTGTTTTTCTCTAGTGGTTTCCCAGTTAATTTTTTCTTAAAACAAAAATTAATCACTATATATTTCTTTTTATTTTTGGGACTATTGTTTTCATTTTAGTAAAAGTTTCCTTTAAGGGGCTGGGGAGATGGCTCAGTGGAATAAGTGCTTGCCTGGTAAGCACAAGGGCCTGAGTTCAATCCCCAGTTCCACAAAAAAAAAAAAAAAAAAAGTTTCCTTTAATAAGCTGCCTAGGTTTAATTTTAATTGTGCCACTTGAGTACCAATAATCATAGGCCAGTTGCTTCGCCTTCTTGGCCTCAGTTTCCTCCTCTTCAAGAGGGCTTGTTGTTAAATGGCATGACACGTGTTTAGTTTTGAAATCAGTCCTTGACGTAGCTCAGTGCCTGCTGAATGCTCACTGCTAGTAAACACTCATGGCGCTCTGGGCGGTGCTGTGTGTTGGCCACTTCCCAGGCACCAGCTTCTGCACCGTGAAGCTCTGTCTTTACTCCCTAAGAATATAAGCATTCTGCATCCCCAGAACACCTCAGAAAT